CGGGTCGATCCCGGCTCCTGCGCCGTGCCCGGCTCTGACCCTTTCCCCGTCCCGCGGGGCAGGCGACCAGCCGGCACACGGGTCTCAAGACGGGACGTGCTGCGGCTTTACGTCGCGGGCGCTGCGATCTGTGTTGTCTGTCGCTTTCCTAATGGTTGTCGATATTCCCCTCGGCTTTTCAGAGAGCTTTCCGCAGTGTCGCCGAGATCTCGCTCTTGAGTGGGAACAGCCGTTTTACTCCCCATCGTTGTACAGATAGAATTTGAGCGTGATAAATGCAAAGTTGTGCACATACAGCCTCAACAGTCACGCCCCTCGTTAGCCCTGAACCTCCTCCCCTTCATTTCCCGGGAAAAACACTGGACAAGCCCGTCTCTTGGCTGACACTTCTCTGCTTTGGCAGGCCTGGGGCAGATGAAGGAGACGCTGCGCAAAGTGGACTGCATCGTTGAGGTGCACGATGCCCGCATATCCTTTGGTGGCTGGAGCCTATGCAGCACAGTGGACCCTGGTTGTGTGGAGCAATGTGTATAGCCCCAGAGCTGCACGCAGCCCGGAGGGTCCCCACTGCCTCTTTCCCCAGACAGGGCCTCACGGGGTACGTGACCCTACCTTGCGGGAGGTGAGAGTCTCCGATGGGGTGGAACGCTGTAGGCTGGGCCCTTTCCCATCATTGCGGGTATCTCACTTGTCTGGCTTCCTTAGCGATGACACATCCCATTCTCAGGCCGAAACCCAGCCTTCCACGAGGCCCTGGGAATCAGACCTCACCTGCTTGTGCTGAACAAAATGGACCTGGCTGATCTGACTCACAAAGCGGTAAGAGCCCAGTTCGAAGTGGTTCTTCTCCCACTCTTCACCAGCATCTTCCTATTGTTTAATGCACCGACGCAGCTTCACTTTGTAATCCAGAGTCAATGTTTGGACTGAGCCAGGTCTAGACAATAAACTTACCTCCGTGGCAGTGTGTCGCACCGCATCCCTAAGCAACAGTTTTACCAACCTAACCACCTGTGCAGACAGCACAGCTAATCCACCTTTTTGAGAAGCAGTAGCAATGTCAATGGGGGAAGCCCTCCTTTCAGTGAGGTAGCATCTTCCCTGAAGTGCTACAGTATTTTAAGTGTAGATCTGCCGTGAGGGCATTAGCCATATGTTCCCTCCTGGCAGGGCAACACGCTGTCTGCAGTGGCCATAGGCAATGCTCACCAATTACAAGCAGCCTCGTGCACTTGTATTTCCTGTTATCACAGGAGAATTGGGCTTTTCATTGAGAGCATGGTCAGGTCTGGCACCTAATGTTAGAGGCCCTGGTACCAGCCTATGTCTGTGTCTAGACTGGCCAATTTTTCTGGAAAATCAGCCGCTTTTCCGGAAAAACTTGCCAGCTGTCTACACTGGCCGCTTGAATTTCTGCAAAAGCACTGACTTCCTACTGTAAGAAATCAGTGCTTCTTGCGGAAATACTATGCTGCTCCCGTTCAGGCAAAAGTCCTTTTGCGCAAAAGCTTTTGCACAAAAGGGCCAGTGTAGACAGCTCAGATTTGTTTTCTGCAAAAAAGCCCTGTCGCGAAAATGCCGATCGGGGTTTTTTTTGCGGAAAAGCGCGTCTAGATTGGCCACAGACACTTTTCTGCAAACAGGCGTCTGCGTTTTAGCATTGTGCCTGCTGAGCGAAGTGGGACTCGGAGAGCTGAGGGCAACCGCTCAAGTCAGCCCACTCAGCTCCTGCTTGAGCGACCATACCGCAATTAACCCCGGAGGGGACTGATTGCTTTCTTTGCCTTGGAAATCTCTCGCATTCCTTCCTAGAGAATTCTGGAGCGCTTGGAGCAGGAAGGGCTTAGAAACGTCCTCTTCACCAACTGCATCAAAGATGAAAATGTCCAGAAGGTAGCGGCTCCACCACGCGACTGCGTGGGCCTGAGGGCGTGTCGTGCTGCACTGGGCTGTTCAGCACCCCAGTGAGACCTGAGTCCATTAGTGCCTGCCTGCGGCGCGTTTTTCGCGAATGCAGCCTCGGAGTTTGAATCTCCACGCCCCAGGGGGCTTGCGTTGCTGCCAGTTGGAGCGTCTCTTCTACGTGAGTGCGCATGCCCCGGGCTTGCTGAGAGACCGCATGGGCAGCACGGCCTGCTGGCACCGGTACAGCACGCCTTTCAGAGCAGTGCCCTGGAGGCAGGCACAGCTGCTGCGGTACAGTCTTTTAAACGTTAAAGTGGCCCTACGGGTCGTGCAGCCACATCTCAGGCCTCTCAGCCCTGCAGGCCATGGGGCACCGAACAGGCATTTGGGCTTTGGCGTGGTGCCTTCTGAGCAGGTGTCAGGGAGCTGATGGCTACAGCACCCAATTCTGCCCTGCCTGGGCGGTCTGTGCATGCAGAAGGAGCTTGGCATACAGCCTGTGCAGGGCAGAAGAGCGGCTTCCATTTTCGGGGGGACAAAACCACCTGTGTGTTTCCTGCTCTCGGTGTATGTGGTTGGCGGGGCCCCGAAATAATGCGCCCTGCAGCGTGGACAGCATGCCCTGGCTGCAATGAGGCCTTGCTAAGCTAGACACTGCCCAGCGGGTTTGTGAGTCACAGAGAGCAGCTGACAGTCCAGGGGTGATCATTGGACATTTCAGCGTTAATGTGCAGAGACTGGTCCGGAGGAAGGATAGTTACCAACGGAAAAGGCCTGTCTCTGTGGGAGAGCTCTTCCCTGGTTGGCCGATGATCGCTGTGGAACTAGCAGCCCCCCAAAACGCTGCACGCCCGTGGGAATGACGGCTTCCAGTCTCCCCCACTTTGTCTGCCTTACGGCTGTGCATCAGTTCTATCCGAACACAACTGGAAGCGAAAGCTGGCTAGGGAGGACTCCCCCACCCCATCTCCGTCCGTCCGTCCTGCTGGCGCCTGGGGGAAGCTGCTCCAGTTTGAGCTGTGTTACAGCGCAGGCCAGCTGCAGGCTGGGCCCGACTTTGCCGCTAGCTAGTGTGTTGCAGCAGGAAGCAAGCCTGTCCCTCCAATAAGCTCGGCCTGGCTGCACCTAGCTCCACTGGACATGAGGGGTCTCAGCAGGGTCCTAGCCGCCTGCGCTTTGATAGCCTCTCTTTGTACTGCCTCACAGGTCGTCCCCCTCATCACCGACCTGGTCAGCCACAGCCAGCGCTACCAGAGAGCTGAGGTCAGTGTGAGAATGGGGCAGGGGCGCTCTCTCCTGCCTGGCATATGGGGGTGACACCTGGAGAGGGCGGGGAGCCTGGTGTGGTGCCACCTGCTAGATCAGGGTGGTGGGGAGCCTGGCAGACGGGATGGGGACCCTGGTGGGAAGCCACCTGGTGGATGTGGGCAAGCCTGGGCCAGTGCTCCCAGCG